AGGAACAGTCCTGCAGGTAGCTGGCTAAGTGCTTGGGGACTGGATCCATGTGTAGCTTTTCAAGGCAGCCTCCCTGAGTCCTCAGGCATCCTGAGTGCCCGCCCCTGTGCTAACCATCAAGATCTTTCCTGCTGCTGTGTAGTCTGGGTTCTCCAGGAAACAGGCTCTGACTGCAGGCCTCAGTGTTCCGGATGTTTACCCGGGAGAGCCCTGGAGTCAACAGCAACCGACCTGAGAGGGCGGAAGCAGGATCAGGGAGACGGAGAGATCAGGCCGAGAGTAAGCCTGAGGCCACAGCTGCCTACAGAACAAAGTGCTCTGAACCGGAAAGAGCCCACATGAGGCCGCCTGCACCGTTTTGTGTTTAAACTGCATGTGTAGTTTTGTTTCGTTTTGATTTTTTTTTTTTTTTTTGGTTTTTAATTTTATTGGGCCATGTTTGCAGTACATAATGATGACGTTCATCATGGGGAACTGCTACATGTGCATAATAAGTCCTGATTCTTTTTATTTTCCCTCCTCCAACAGCACTAGTTTTTAATTTGCAATTTAATTGATTTTTCTTTTTATAGGTAAGAGATAGAAGACAGCATGGACTTGTTATTTGGAGTTTCCTGAGGTTTTTAAGGAAGTCCTGCTCCTGTATTCTCCACTCACACAGCCCAGGAATTTATTACTCTGCATGCAGATCTACACATAGCTTACCAGTTCCTGTAGTAGGGTGGGTGACAGAGAGAGAGAAAGAGAGAGAGTTTGTATGTGTAACATGCTCTTGCGTATATGTGAAGTCCCTTTTTATACATTAGGAAATATATTTCAATTTCAGTATGAATAGACTCACTGGCTCAGAAATCACCTCTGAACAAAGCATTCCATTTCCTTTGCTACCCCTGATTTACCATTTTCACCAGATACCATGAACACACCCATTAGACCACAAACCTTGTGCAAACCAGGCTTCTTCATCCTTCGTATCTTGTACATTCAATCAATGATTAGATGATTTGTGATGTGCTCGGAAAACTTTGTATGAGTTTGCTAAGCCTGGAAGCTAAATATTTACTGTTACCTTTATATTTTTAACTGAAATATAATCACATAGAAAAGTGCCCAAAGTATTAGTATATCACTCGATGAATTATCCCAAAATGAGCACCTGACAACCAACCAGGTCAAGAAACAGAACATTTTTGGAAGCCCCTCCTGTCCCCGCTCAAGTATCCATCTTTATAAACTATTTCTTGTTATACCAAAATCCAGGTATCCTAGCCTTTTTTATTCCTTTGAAAAATAAATAACCCTCCCATCCTGCTGTTTTTCACCCTCAGTTTTCTTTTCCCCTTCCTCCCCCTCTCCTCCCCTCCCTTCTTTTCCCTTCCCCTTTCATTCCCTTGCCTTAACTTTTTTTCTTCAAGCCTTTGCACTATGGTTCATCCCCAGCCTTTTAAAAAAATTTACGTTTTTATTCTGAATCAGTGCCTCACGAAGTTGCCCAGGGCTGGGTTCCAATTTGCCGCCCACTTGTATCCACCCCTAGAAGTGCCAGGATTGAATGGGTGTGATGTCACCCCACTTTCCTGATGGGCTACTAGCCTACTTGGCTTCCATGCTGTCTTGTACAGTGTGTAATCTCAAACTCTGTCATCTTCATAAAGAAACATACCCGTGACATCCCACTTCTAAGGCTTCATTATTTTGTGGGGCCCCACTTCTTCCTTTGTCTCCTTTTACTGTTGTTCTTTTTCCCCACATTCTTCCTGGCTTAAACAGTTTACCTGTTTCCTGCTAACTTCTGACCTCTCTTCTCATTTTAACTCTTCCACTTTTATATGCTGTAAAAAGGTTTGCCAATGTGAACTGAAGCTTTGATGAGCAATTTAAATAAGGTCCGAGAAGAGATTCTTTGAGACTGAAAAGATTAAGGGAACGTGGTCAGTAGCTGAGTAGAAAAGATGTCAGAGTTAGAGAAAATTATTTACTTTTCTGTATGTCAGGCAAAAAAAGAAGAAGAAACTGAAACTTGACAGCCTCAAAGGGTTAACCTCAAACTACTTAACGTTACATACTCAGGATATGGATTTCAGAGTGATATAAACAACACTGCTTCAGAGTTTCAAAAGGTACAATTAACCGAAAGTGCTATTAGTCTAGAAGGACAAAATTCAATAATCACAAGAATTGACTACTTCTCTGGAAATGTCTCATTTCTGTGTGTTTAACTGTAACTTAGGTTTTTTTTTTTTTTTTTCATTATGCTTAACGGTTCTTCAGTTTCATGTCATTTGAAGAACTGGTATCTGTTGAGATTTGTGATTACAAGCCATACAAGGTATAAAAAGTGTTCTCTTAAATCTTTATGACATGACTTTAATTATGTCTAAATGTTAAAAGTGTGTGAATATACTCATGTATATATGAGCTGTTGTAAATGAAGGATAAAAGACTGACCCAAGAAATTCAGTGCAGAGAATATCCAGTGACTACAACTAATCAGATTAAATGCTGGGATCTGATAGTGCTTACATAATTTTACATCAGTTCAGTCTAGCTTTCTCAGTAAACTGTTCTTCACATTTGGAAAGACGCTAAACTAGGTATGGTGGACATGCCTGTAATCTTAGCACTGATGCAGGAAGATTACGTATTCGAGTCCTGCCTGCTCAACTAAGTAAGACCCTGCCTCAAAATAAAAACTAAAAAGGCTTAGGCATGTAGTTTAGTCACAAAAGTTCTCCTAGGTTAACCACTCTCCACAAAAAGGGGGATACTGATACCAAAACCCTGTATAGAATATGGTTCCTTATACTTTGTCTATTCTTGTATCTGTCGCTCCTGTAGATTTTGAGAACCTCAAAGATGAAAATGTGTCTTCTCCTCCACACCACCAACATGGGGCCTATACCTGAAGGTGTTTCAAACCTCCTGAGCTGAAACTCAAGAGTCAGTCCCAGCTCCTCTTGCCCCCCCGCTTTGTCTCCCAATGACTGTTTCCCAAATCTACAAACATCGGTAGAGTTTACCTCAGAAGAGTAGTTTTTTATAAATCATACCTTTTTCTCCACTCCCCAAGCTACATTCAGGTCCATACTGGTCAGGTCATTGTTGTGGCCTCTTCCCTGACCCTAGTGTTTCTCTTAACTATGGACACGTTTCCGTCTGTCTTCCACATGATTCTTGGAGGTAAATGGACTTTCATTACTTCATTACTGGGGATTGAGCTAAGGCCCTTAGCACTGTTACATTCCCAGCCCTTTTTTATCATGAGACAGTCTCACACTGTCTCTTAAATAGCCCAGGTCAGACTTGAACATGTGATCTTCGTGCCTCAGGGTCCCAGACTCTTGGGATTACAGGCGCATGCCAACATGCCTGGTTTATATACTTCTTATATAGCTAAAGGAAAGAAAACTTTTTGAGTGTCAACTATATGCAGGTACAGTGTTGAGCATTTACAGTTATATCCTTTACTAATTATAATACCCTAATGTGGCAGGGTTGTATTGTTATGGTGTTTCAGCAAAATGAAATTAAGAGCGATGAAGTATCACTCTGACATTTTCAAATTAGAAAGACCTCATACACATATAACTAGCAATGCTACTTAAGACTAAATTAGGCCATAAGAAATTTTATAACATTTTTAGAATTTGGTTAAAGACTAGTAAGACCCAAATTGTAAGAATTAAATTAAAAGAATACCATCTAAAATTTTATTTATCAGGTTAGCTTCTATTTACATAGAATATGTCTAGAACAAGAGTATAAGCTTTAAGAATGCAACATAACTAAACAGAGGTATGTTTTCTATTATTATTATTATTTATGATACTGGAATTGAATTCAAGTTCTTCACACTGAGCTTTGTGTTCCCAGTCCTTTTAAAAACTTTTTTATGACAGGATCTAGCTAAGTTACTAAATAATCTAGACTAAATTATAATTTGCAGTCCTCCTGCCTTAGCCTCCCCAATTGCTGGAATGCAAGCATGCACCATCACATCCAGTGATACACATTTACTGTTCCAAAAAAGTGAACACAGCTATTGCAAAAGGCATAAATCTTACCAACTAGTTAAACAATAGGCAATAAAAATTTAGTTATGTAATATAGATAATAAATAATAGTTATATAACAATAATATGTTAAATATTCAAGTTATTTTTAATAATAATTTTGACAATTGACTTGGAAATTCTTTTTCTCAAATTTTCAGAATCATACCCACAACTGGAAAAATTTAATAAAACAAAAAATTGCTACTATTATAAAATTCCACAGAAATTAAATTTAAGAAACAGAGAAGTGGACTTCCTTACTGTCTGTTCTTAGAGACCCAAAATGCCTTCATCATCCTGTTCTGATCAGTTCTATAGTGTTTGTTTTGTATGTGAAGATATGGACAACTATTTGGAAAAAAACAAGAGACAACATCATAGACAACGAAGATCTCTGGTTGTCTTGCTTTGAAATCTGTGTCTCTTACATTGTTCTCTTATGATCTGTTTTGTTCTGTTTAATTTTACCCTCTTTAAAAATAAGGAAAAATAGAAAAAAAACTGAAATACAAAGTTCTAGACTGAATTTTAAGTAAAGAGAAACAAAAAATGAGCAAGATTTGTTGTACTTTATGACTAAAATGGAATAGTGTTAGGAAAACTGCTCAGGAAGTCAGAACACAATATAAATCAGTAAGACATTCCATACCATTCTAGTCACAGGAAATCTTAAAATATCAATCCATTCTGCCTGTGTATACAGCAAAGTCAGTTTCTAAAGCATTTAAACCATTGTACAAGGTAGAAATTATGTGCTTTGTCAAGTAAAAGATCGGCTTGTGTGCTAATCTTTTTATAAATATCAATTCAAAGAAAGAGAATACATAATAAAAGTTATACAAGTTCTTATCAAAACTAAAAGAAAACAAGGGATGAAAATTATTAAGTAAGAGAAAGGCAATGCAGCATTCAAAAGTGTCATACTTGTTGGATTGATAATTACAGAATCAGAGCTACATACAGTAGTGGACTTGCAATGTGCTGCTGTAGTGTGGAGACCACACAGCTGTGGCCACACGGACAGAAGGAAGTTCCTGACCTGCCCAGGTGTTCCAAGTACCCCAGCCCAGCTGCCACACATGTAAGTAAAAAAACTGTCTCATGACCATAGCCTCAGCTGTCACCTTCCTGCAATCATTTGAAGGACTCCAGCTGGACAGTGCCCAGCTCTGCCAATCCCTAGAAATATGGAATATAACAAAAAATTATCATCTTAAGCTACCAAGTTTTGCTATGGTATAAAAAGTTTTGCTATGGTATGCTACATACAGCAGTAAATGATTTGAACATGTAAAAAAAATCCAGAGAGCTATTTAATACTTCTTAATTTATTTATAAGTGCTAAACTTTAGCACTACTCTAGAAATGTATCTAAATTCAGATATATCACATATATATCATTTATTTATTTATTTATGTAAGACAGGTCTCATTACATAGACCATATATATAGATAGATAGATAGATGTACAGATATATATATATATATATATATATATATATAGTTGTATTATAATGCAATATAATACTTTACTTATTTTACTGGGCATAAAAATGAGTTGTTAGGTCTTGAAACTTGTCAGACTTTTGTATCCTTTATTCATTCTTTAATCCTTTTATATTGTATTTCAGTCTTCATTCCTCTATGGAACTCCACTCTGATGAAGATCACAAACTTTGTAATCATAAATCCTAAAGAGCCTCTATCATACTGAATACTGTGGCCCATAACCCTAAAATCTTACCGTTAGCTTTGTAGGACTGCTTTTTCTTGCTATTCCTCTCTTTCTGCTCATTCCTTCTTAACAAGGAAGTACATATGTTGTTCTCATGCTTGTCCATATACTCCTTTACTGTCTCAGCAATTGTATCATATTTTCACGTTAGCCTCTCTCTAGAACACTCTTTGATAATTTCCTTTGTTTCTTAAAGCCAACCAGTTTTCAGTTCTTCCTCCCTGTAACATCTTGCAGCTGCCTTTTCTTCAGTCCTTTCCTTGTTGAGGACCTCATTAACTCTTGTTGATACAAAGGCAAGAGTCCTAGCCAATTCTTTGCTGAAAGCCTATTTGCTTCTAGTCCATACCATTCACTTTTACAAGATTAATTTACCTGACTGTTCTCATTGATTAATGCCTACTTTAATGTCATTTGATGTATAAATATAAAGTGTGATCCAAAAATATGAGTGTTTAAATTTTGTAAATTAATATGATAGATATGTAGTCTTTAATCCTCCTCAAAGGACTGCCCCTTGCTTCAAACACACTGTATGTGTGGTAAGTAAATATACAGATAAGTAGATATAGATACATGATATGATTTTCCACTGGGAGACTTTTTAGGTTTGCAAGCAAAGGAGTGAGATAATATTATTATAGCTTTTCCAACATTTTTCCTAGTAAAATTTTAACTAATTTTACAGAAATTTGTTTCTTTTGGCCTGTGAGCTATCTGGCATTCATATACATAATCATCTTATCTTGGTAAGAAAACAGTAATCTAAAAGTCAGGAAACATGATATTATTCTTGGTCCTATCACTGATTTTTTACTCTAACCAAATATTTATGTTTTCAGTGTATAAAAAAATTTTAAAGGGAATTCATTAGCCTTAATTCTTGTTTTTCAACGTAATAACATTTTAAAAATATGAATAGAGGATGACTGATAAGTTTAAGTGGTAAATCGATAGAAAATACGTCTTTGCTTAGTCCCCATTTTAACATTTGCTGAAGCATTCTAGACACCAAACAAGCATGAGGAATCATATCGTGTCCAACCATCTAGTGAGGCCCATAACACATCACTTTAGGGCACACTGGCCGCTGAACAAGTTTGCATAAAACATGAAATAAACTTTTAATTTTCAGAGTTTAGGGATTTTTGATTTATAGAGAAGATATAGTGGACTTGTACCAGTGTTACACACACACATTCTTGGGTAGGTGTGAGAAAAGAGTGCTGTGTGGCTGTACCAGTCTGTTAACCAACCCAGGCAGGGAGCAGGAGGTTTGGTGAAGAGAGAGCCAAGGCTGGGCATATACATATCGATAAAAGAAAAAGATTATATTGCATTATTGTTTTGAGAACCTGTTAGTGACATTGAAGGAGAAATGCCCAATGATAAAATTCAAGACTCCTTTTCACTTTATTATTGTGTTCCAAATTGTCAGATACTTACTGATGCTACAAAATTAAAACAACCTTAACTGGTTAATTTAATCTCTTACAGAATTTTTTTTAAAAATTGCACACTACATATTACATAGTAACATTTTCATTTAAGCATGCAACTATTTCTTGTTTGTCTACACAGTAGTTCAAGGCTTTTAATAATTTTATACACCCATAAGTTGGTCTCTCTCTAGCTTCAGCCATACTATACCTTGCCCACTATACAAAGGGGTTACCTGACACCCACTCTGAGAACTTCCAAGGGCTCTCATTAGAAAAAGATTAATACCATTATATATCTATGTACATCTCTCTCTTCACATACTACACATATATATATATATATATATATATATATATATATATATCCTTTTCCCCCTCTGTGTGTGTATTCTGATACAATATGTGATAGCAAGTGATATTCAGTGATTTACTTGTTTATTTAGTCATTCACTTATTTATTCAGACAAGTTATCAAGAGAGTGCCTATTCAATGTCAGGCATAGGCACAGGGCATGCAACAGTGAGCAAATAAAGACAAAACTTATATAATGCACAGAAATCAGAAATTAAAATATAAGGCAATAGACCAAAGAGGGATGAGACAACAGCTTCCATATTTCTTTGTACAAGTACAGGGAAACTCTGAAGATTGAAAACTTGGTGGTAAGAGCATGACAAATGACAAAGCTCAGGAGAGGAGTTGGGAAGCAGCACCAGCCAAGCCTGTCAAGACCTTGCGCCAAAGATACCTGCGATCTGAAGTGTCCATTGAGTGGATCTAGAACTAAGTCCTCTTACATGGCTATCTCAGCACATTAAATGCTTGTGTGTAAATAGCCACTTAATGTTTGTTTTGCTTAGTATTTCTATTATGTTCTCCAATCTTGTGGTATGAACTATTTGCCTATTTTTCAGAGTACTCTCCCATGAAGTAAATGAAAACTCAGTAACCAATCAAGGAATACATCAATCTATCAAAAGTATTTATTGGGAATCTATTGGACAAGTGATCAGCATATAATAGAAATCTTGAAGATTTTACTAATAATTAAATCAGGAAAATTTGAATAAATATGCTTTTAGTACAAAGTCTTACTATTTTACTGAATATAAGCACTTTTTAAAAATCTTTAAAATCTTTGGAGCACTACTTAGCTTTCAAATATTTGCAAATATTTAGAAACAAAATATTTACTATTCCTTGTTTCCTACCTGACACAAAGTTAAGGCTCTGAAAAAACATCAAAGTGCTCATTTAAATAATATTATTATAATTATGCAAACGAGAAGAACGTGGTTAAACATAAAAAATGCAAAGTCTGTATCACTCCCTATTCTTTAACCCAAACTCAAATAAGAGGGAAAGAATCCAAGGAAGGATGCACCGTACTTTGTCATTTCCTTCTTGGTGCCTTGAAGAGATAGCAGAACCTAATTCTGCTGGACTCTATTGCTTCCTAGCTGTAGATAAGATGTGGGACTCATTGGGCATTTATTTCCAAGCAATTTTTAAAAAATTTGTTCACACAGAAATTTTCTTGCAGGTAAAGTTTACATAAACTATTGGTTATAGGCATGTGGAACGTAACGAGGAATTGCCTCCCTTCTCTGTGTAAGTGCAGGCTTCCTAAAATAGCCTATATTTGAAAACTATTACTGCACATAAGGTAAGTTTTAAAACATACCAAAATGGAGTTCAGACAGGCAAGATGTCTTCTCTACATAACCCTGTTGATAGGAGGCCTCATCAAAAGCAGAATCTGGAGTCCTATTTCCCTGTACAATGTGCTCTCATATTCTGATGCTTAGTAGTATATGCCACTCGCTCAATTTTTAATTAATTTGGACATATATTTGTTAAATGTCTACTCAATGTCAAGCATAGTCACAGGGTGAACAACAATGAAAAAAAACCAGTGGAGAAGATAGAAAAACATCACAAAATATAAATCAGGCGGTGGCTGTAAGTACTATGAAGAAAAATGTAGCAAGCAGAGAATCATAGGTATAAAGCAGGGGAAAATCCTAAGTCTGAATAGGGTGGTCTGAAAACACTGATGGAGGATGTGACATATAACCAGAACTTGAAGGAAAAGAAGAATACGAATCTCTCTGAGTCTTCCCAAAAGGGAAATAAGTGCAAAAGCCCAGGAGGAGATTCTATGCAGCATGCCTGCGGAAAGCAAAGAGAGCACTGGGGCCAGAGCACAGTAAAGGAGGAAGAGAGGAAGAGGAGACGGCCAGGTGTGCAAGGCCTGTCTGCCTCTGCTCCACGTGAGGGAGGAAGCCCCTGGAGGGCCTGAGCAGTAGAGTGACATGATCTCATGTTTCTTGAACTATGTCAGCTGCTATTTAAAAAGAACAGTTTGTAAGTGTAATGGTGGAAGCAGACAGATTGGTGAGGAGTTTGTAAGAATCAAGATAAAATGCAGGAGCGGCCAACAGTGACAGAGCACAGAGGGCCAAAAGGAGATATATTTTGAGAGCTGAGCCCACATGATTTCTTGATGGTTTGGATATGAATGTGAGTAAAGAAAAAGAATAAAGGATGACTCTAAAGTTATTAGCTGAGCAATTAAATGATGGAATTACCATTTACTGAAGTGTAAAACACTGCATGGGCAACAGATTTGTAAGAAGACCAAAGAGTCGCATTTTCACATGCTGAGGTTGAGATGCATCTAAGACAGGCAACTGAGTACACATCTGGTGTCTATGAGGAAGATCTAGATGAGATATATATATACTGATATATATATCAGTAGCACATATGTGAGTAAAGATCTAAGACATGCTGAGATCACCAAGGAAGTGATATGGACAGAGCAGAGGCCAGAAGATGGTGCCCTAGTGCACTCCAGTGTTCAGAGATCAGTGGAATGCAGTGGAATGCAAGATTATTTTAAATGATCAGATGAAGACTGAGAATTGGCCACAGCATTTATCCTTGTGAATTTCATTGGTGCTTTGTCAAGCATGACATCACATCGCAGATGGGATGCCCAACCGGAATGGGTTGGGGAGTGACAGGGAAGAATAGAGAAAGGGAGAGAGGAAGGGAGGGAGGAAATGAGGGAGAAAGAGAGAGAGACAAGGAAGAGAGTTTTCCTGTATTGTTCATGAACTTTCTATATGGTGATTAAATATTTACAGAGTCTCAAAATTAGAATAGTAACTTTTTATTGAATACCTTTCCTAAGTTCAAGACTAGCCTGAGAAAATTAATGAGAACTTGTTTCAAAATTTAAAAATACACAGTTATTGGGGCTGTAGTTCAGTGGTAATGCATCCCTGGATTCAATCCCCAGATCTAAAATGAAAATGATGTGATAGGCCCTTAGTTCAATACCCAGTATCACACACACAAAAATGTCTTCCAATAGTATGTAGTCTACAGATGAGAAAATTGATGGTTAAGCAGTATATTCTCCAAGGACCTCTATGTGGTGAGGCTGGGAGCAAGACTTTGAACTTGATCTGTCCAATTCTTCATTTTTAGCTTTCACTAAGTGCTACATTGTCTTTAAAATGTTGCAATAAATTGCCATATTAGAACGACTTTCCTGAGGTTAATCAGTGATTTAGGAGTGAGAACATAGAGAGACTAACAAAGACCTACCTTCCCAGTTGATCAAAGTATCCTTAATCACTGGCAAGCAAGAACTCCACAGGGCTGTTCATCATGGCAGCTATCAGCCAATTCACAGCTGGCTGCTGCCCATGAAGCCCTTTTCAGCATAAACTGATTGGATGAACCAGTCTTAGCAAAGTCGCTAAATTCAAATAAACAACTTCTATGAGAGAGAAATTCAGCTCCATGAACATTTATAAGACCAAAGAGCTTAGTTCTGTCTACAACCCCAGTTACTCCAATATTAGGATAAGGAATAGAGTACTTTTTTACCTGGTTTTTATGCATAAAAAGCCATCCTATTTACCCCTCAGCAGAAAGGGATCTGTGTTAAATGGGACAGACCTATTCCTTCCCACATTCTGCATCGAATTTTGACTCTTAAAATTTACCCTCACCTTTCTTGCTGGAGTCCACTGGAATAAGACAAAGTAAACATCAAACAGAATTGCAACGAAACTCTATATGGTCACCAGGATAAAGACGAGTGTCACAGTTGCCTCTGTTCTGAAAGCCTGAGAGAATTCTGTCACAGCTTGGTCCAATACTTAGGAAGAAAAAGTTAAGCTATGAACTGAACTTGCATTAAGATCTAGGTAAGAAAATTATATCATCTGGCTTTATATTCTTTAAAAAAACGGATAAAACCAAGGAAAATAAAACAGAATAAAACCAATCAAAATAAACTAGTGTAAGTGATACAGGATTTCAAAATCTTATAAAATCAGCAACAGTTACCATAATGCCTTTTGCTGTCTTCAAAATAGCTGTAGACACATTCAGACATAGTAAAAATCAAGCAGAACAGAATAGAGTAAACACAATAAAAACAGAACAATGAATGCAATAAAGGACTTCAAAATAAGCTACTAATAAATCCAAAATGGCTACCATAATATCTCTTGCTGTCTTATATAGCTTCTCATGCCATCAGATTTAACACAATCAAAACAAACAGAATAAAACCCAACCCAAGAAAACAATGAAAATGGTATGGTTTCCAGGTGGGGATCACCTCCTTGTGAGTCCTGGTTCTCTCCCCCAGCAGTCCACAAATGACGCTGACTTGTGGAGAGAGGGTGGGATCTGACTGTCCCCACTCAGGCAGCAGCCCGTGTGTGGTGATGGTTTCCAGGCAGGGATTCATATTCTTTTCTATGTGCTATGGTAAAAAATAACACACTGCAGTTTCATATAATAATCACATTTTAAGACCAAAACTTTACCATCAGCATTTACCCAGACAAAATCTTTAAACATTTACTGTTTAATATTCCTTTACTCATTGAATTTAATGATACATCAAAGCATGGTGAAAAACTGATACTGATTAACTCTGGGTCTGTGATAGAGCCTACTTTCATGGTTATGTCTAATAGAAGTTGTATTAAGTAAATCTTGTCTTTGATTTTTTAAGTCTTTCTTCCTAAATGTTTTATGAATTCAGGGAATGTTTCATTTCAAAACTCAAATATAAGCTGGAAAAGAAAAATGAAGCCTCCCTATATTTTGAATATGAAATTTGAACCTGAGGCACAGAAATGCATTGCATTATGCAAGGAATGCAATGTGCAGATATGAAATGAGTAGCATTTAACTTTCCACTGAGGGCCATGGATGTGTTACGCTGACTTATATAGATGCTCAGGTCCACACATGAGGACAGGAGCTCTGCAGTTGTTCTTTGCCAGACAGAGAACCTTTGGATGACTCAAGAGCTCTCTTCTGACAAATGGGCAGTAGCTTTTGAAAATAGTACTTTAAAAACCAACAAGCTAATAGTTCCTTTAAAACTATTTAAAGAAAAATAAGCTAATGATTTCTGAAGTCTTTGGAAATGCCGAAATTCAAACTTATGGTGAGAAGTGTCCTTAAAAATACAGATCTGTCTTATTTATATTGTAGGCCTTATAATCGGCTGTGAGAAGGTAAAATGAAAATATTATGATTGGTTAAAATAACAGATTACATTTAAGTGTAGCCAAGGCAGTACAGGAAAATGTGTGCCGAGCCCTCTGACATAGGACTTCCTCTTCCAGGATCCCCGTCTCCCCTCTTCCTAGAACAAGAGGCCCACAGACCTCACTTGATGCTAAAATGACTCTTTTTTTAAAAAGCAAAATTGTTTCTCATTCAACACTTGTTTTACAGTTTAATTACAAATAAAAAATCAACTATCAATGTACGTGAGTGTATAAGCATTGAATTAAATGAGGAAAAATTTTTTTCCTAAAATATACATGTGGGTTGTTTGGGGCCAGGCAGACAAAACAATAGGCTAATTGAATTCTTCCCTTTTCACCTGATTGTTTTTGGTCATGGAAAGATACAAACAAGGCTTGGCTAAAACACCAATCATTCATTTTGTATAACTACACTTAAGAATTCACTCTATGAATTCCCAGAGGGTTCTCGGGTAAAGAAATTCAAATTAACATTTGAATCCTACCATAATACTATAGCATTTTACTATAAGTGAGAGCATTTTACTGGATGCAGGAATTTCTAGGATTCTGGAGAACCATCTGGAGAAAAGGGCTAGTGAAAAATGGAATAACATGGAGAGGGTCAGATCCATAAGGTGTATGAAGGAAAAGATCTTGGATTCAAACAAATACAAAACAAGAATGTGAAACTATTAACAATAAACAAAATAGGATAAAAGGGTGTGATCATCTCTTAAATAAATATGAACATCTGTATCTTTGTGTTTATAGAGATGACATATTACACTTAAATATTTCATGCCAGAGGGCAAAATGACTGGTTGCTCTGCTTCATCCTGAGCCAAAGAAGAATGCAGTGGTTAAAGCACATTTTTCCATTCTGTCATGAAGAATAGCTGAGAAAACATCAGATTTGTGAGGGGATTTTTTCCTCCCACCACGCCCTCCTCGACCCAGCTGAGGGTTTAATTCTTACCTCTTCAGTGAGAACAGCATTTCCTCTCATCTCAGAGCATTGTATCAATACTGGTGAGACCGGGACCAGAAGAGATTAGCTATGCTGAAATATGCCCATCATAAGTACCTCAGCGACACTGAAATGAGAGCCAGTGTACACTGAAGTTATTTATTGCTATTACAGAAAATTGTATGAAGTGGATCACTAGGAGGGAATGACGGATGTGATCTAAACCTTTGAGAATAGGGAAAAAATTCTATGTAAAATAGGGACCCTCCACGAAAATTAAAAATAATTTTTTAACTGTGCTTCATACACACAAACCAACCAAATAAGTAAAAAGGGCTCTCTAAAATCTAGTTAGAAAATAATATAAAACTTTACCGAACCAATTATAGTGTACTATTACTCTAAAAATAATAATCAATATGCCTGTGACAGCTGAAATGCTGGAACAAGAATTCCAATGATTTTACTACTTTAAAGGGAAAAAAATCTTGAAATAATTACATCAGCATATGGGCTCTGGAAAATTTCTTCCACCATACTAAGGTCAAACGAGCATTTCCTGTTTCACGTTTCTAGTACACGTTGTCTTTTTAGACAATAATAGGTGAAACAATAGTTTGGCAGGAGCTCAGTGCATACTAAGAAATGCCCTGGCTCTCGAACACTGCACTGAGGGAACCTCAGATGGCAAAGATCTCAACGAGTACAAGAAAGGCAGAGATGCGTCAGGGGAATGGTGGTGCTGGAGAATGCAGCTCAGGAAGCAGCACATCCTTGCCTTCAGCCTTCCATGGGTCTTCGAGTTCTTAACCTTTGCTGTTATGTTTAATGTTTACATTTACACATACAACATTAATCCCTGTGTGTGAATAACCTGTCTTTTTGTCTGTTTGTTTGGCTTTTGTTTGTTTTTTACTTGTTTGCAAAGCAAAATTGCAAATACCGAAAATGAGTATGTCAGTGGTTCTATTTCAATGTGGTTAACCACATGGACGTTGCTTCCACTCTCCAGCCTGCTTCTCCGGACCCCAGAGAGTCACTCTAGACGAGAATGCTCCTCACCATGTTCCGCAGCCCACTGAGAACTGCTTTATCTGTGATCCTCAGAGCTACTCTGAACACCACAAGGCAGATCCACCAGTACTGGTTCTCTCAAAACCTTCTTCCATCTTTCACCTTCTCTGATGCCATCCTGGGGCCTCCAGCACATGCTGACATCCAACAAATCTGCCCATGCAAGAACATTTGTGCCGGTCATTTCCCAAGACTCATCTGTAACATTCTGGTGCTCAGTTAAGTAAAGAATGTGTAAAGAATCAGGATGCAGTGTAGTAATTAACAGTGGAACAACTGTTTCAGAGTGTTTGCACTTAATAATATGACACTGATAAATATTTCAATAAATATAGATCTACACAACTATTTTTAATGATTGAATAATATTCCATTCTGGATATATGTCATTTATTTCATAAATGTCTCACTGATGAAATCATTTTTTAACTTTGACTGTCCTTAATAGCACTGCAGTTAATATTTTGCTAATCTAATAATGAAAAACAGCTCTTGTGCTTTCATTTCTATTCTTAATCTTTAGTGAGTTTTAATTTTTTGTAGGCTATTTATATTCACAGATGAATTACTACCTTCATTTTTCTGTAAAATGTTTTCATCTTATTGATTCATAAGAACGCTTTGTATATTAGAGATACCAACCCTCCCATCTGTTATATCATTCATGTGTCACAAGTATTTTTCAAGTTGGTTCACTTCTTTTCAAATATATCTTTATAATACTTTTACTACAGCAAAACCTTAATTTTTGCATGTATTTCTGGAGCAATACTTGTGAAATTTTTTTTAAATGACATTGTTCTTACTTTAAGAAGAAAGCAAACATTATGAAAGAGGATGCAAACTGAGATGATTTTTAAAATAAACTAGGAAGCATTAAAGAAATATCCATATACATGTGCGGAAATGCTCAACAAGCAGTGCTTTAAAAAGATCAAGATTAAGTCTTTTCTTCTCTTTTGTTTTGTTTTGTTTTCTTTCCATTTTAGGCAATACTTCACTGTGTAGCTCAGGCAGGACTCTATCTCAATTTGTGGGTCAGGCTGGACTCAAACCCACTGTGAGCCTCCTGCTTCTGCCTCCTGAGTGCTAGGATTTCAGGTGTGTGCCACCATGCACAGCAAAATTAAGTTTTCAACATGAATGCAAAGTTTTACTGTATGACCTCTCTCACCTTGCACCACTCATGAGCTTCAACTTCAGACCCAGAAAATTATGTTTTAAGTATCACTGGCTTTCCATATCTGTGTGTCCCATACCTATGGATTCTACCAACCACAAATCAAAAAATATTTAGAAAAAAAAATTACAACAGTACTGACTATGCAAAATGTACAAGCTTTTGTCCTGTCATTATTCCCTAAATGATGGAGTACATAAATAGCATTTACATTGTCTTGGCATTATAATTAATCTAGAGGCTATTTTAATTGTACAGGAGGGCATACATAGGTCATGCCGCTTTATATGAGGTTCTTCCACACCTGCAGATTTGGAGAACTTCAGAGATTTTAGACCTACTATCCATAGCCACCAAAGGATGACATTACCTCTTTGCATATCAGTATCCACCACTAGTCAATAAGCAAATTTATCCTTATTATCCCTGCAGCATTTATACCTGACATATAATAGAGCTCATAAAACCTATTGAGTGAAGGAATATTAAGCCAAGTGAGGATTTCGAATGGCAGCTATTTTATAGCTAGAATTGTACATAGCAATGATCTTATATCTGTAGAAATAAACTCAAATTACAATATGGAAAAAATGAGCCATGCATCTTAGTAATCCAAAAGAATGAACCTGAAAACATTCTTTCTCTTTGTCTTCAGTCTTCCTTTATCTTCACTTCTTCCCACCCCGTTTATAAGCACACATACATTTGACCACTTCCTGAGGGAATATTTGACTTAATTAACAATAATAGAATATGTCTGAAAGAAAATAAAGAATTAAGATTTTGAGATCAGATCCTCATGCTGGCCAGTAATCTCTCCACGAGATGCTTTAGCTCAGCAGTGGGATTTCCCTACCCTGCTTCCCAAGATAATTGAGAGTTGATGTATAATTGACAATGATGTACACTGGAGCATGTTATCAACTCAAAAAAGGGGCTTTGCCTGCATGATTTTCATTAGCATTAATAGTGGTTAAGCTCCACACACAGAGCACAATGTTTCTTTGCTCTAAGAAAAAAAAGGTGCTTTCATCACCTAGGTTATAAAATATTGATTAATTCATGTATTCTGAGACATCCGTCTAAAAAAGAAATCATTCAATCTGTCATTTCTCCCAATCCTACACCCATGTATAAAAAACATAATGACAGTGCCTAGAAGAACAAAAGGAGTGATGAGGGGAGGTAATGAGGAAGGAGAGTGGGAGCAGAGAAAGAGGCTGCAAATGAAACGCGCCAAAATGTGCCTACACAGAGACACAACACCGGCACACAAGCGTCTGCACCCACGACACCCACTCTGCTCATTAATGCAGCTTTGCTTTCATGCCAGATATTAGGGAAACATTAATTAGGGAGAAATCTTGTTAATCCATTTCCAAGTTCATTAATTATGCACCAATGCGAAGTTTTTGTTGGCCTGCCATTAGACAGTCTTGTTCCAATAGAGGCCCAGTGCTGCATATCAGTTAGGGACTTTCCTGAAGGTTTCCGAAGGTATTTGGAGGCTGACCAAACTCTTATGTGATGAGTATTTGTGTGTCCTAGTCCATATACTGTCAATATGAAATCCTCTTTGAAGCTGACCTCAAGTCTTAGCTAATTTTTCATTCAGCTCAGTCACAGGCACATTGGGAGTCCTGTTAAACTAGAGGGATGAAAAAGCACAGAAAGTTTTGAATACATTTAATATCATTGAATTGTAAAGACAGTTAAAATGATAAATCATATGATGTTTATGTCTCACAATAGGAAAAAAAATTTTAAGTAAAAGAATATACTTATAGACCTTAAAAAGTTAAATTATAAGGAGACTATAAAATGGAAAGAAGTTTAAAAGTTCTCACACCATCTCAAAAGACCCCTGAAGGTATTGTGTGTGTGTGTGTGTGTGTGTGTGTGTGTGTGTGTGTTTGTGTGTGTGTGTGTGTGTGCAAAGAAAATATTATGTTATGAATTTCATTGCCAGACAACTTCCAGTGTGCTACATGCCAAGGGGCTTAGGGAAAGTAAGGATGCTTGAATCATCTTATTAACATATATTAATTAAATACCAGGTGATTTCTAGCACTGATCTTATATGATAGCTAACTGTGATGTCAACTGAAGCGGATTAAGAAACACCTGGATTAGTGGAGCACAGTCCTACTGTGTCTCAGTGATTGCCATGTAAGCCACAAACTGAGGGAAGGACCCGCCCTGGGTGTGGGCAGCACCATCCAAATGCTTGGAGCCTGGATGGAATAAAAAGGGGAAAGAAGGAAACTTCTCTTTTAAGTTTTCAGAGGAGCTCTCATCTTTGCCATTGCATTTGGACACTCATCTGCAGTTCCATCAGGCTCCCAGGACGGACTTTTCAGCCTCCCAGTGCAGACCATTTAGCCTTCTGACACAGACTCATTCTGAACTCTGCAGTGAGCACAAGTATAGGTTAACACATTTGCTTGAATTTGAGTAAGAAGCATACAAGGCAGCAGTCACTGGTAAGTCACTCTAGTGACTGACAGTGTAGGTCACAGGTTGGTTTTAATAATCCGCTTTAAGGTTTGCCCTTTAAAAACCTGTCTGCTTTTATATTTGTCATTGATTACCCAATGCAAGAGTTTTTAGATTCTTAGAACTAGATTCTATTTTATTGCTGTTGGGAATCAAATTCAGGACTGCGCACAAATTCTCCCAATAGCACACATCCCCCAGTTCTTGAAAACATAGTATAAAATGATTCCCAACCTTTATGAGTACAAACTTTGAGTTTATTATCAGGAAAAATGTCATAAAACACAAAGTTAAGGAAAAGATTATTTAAAAATCTCCATTTACCTATTATACAGTTTTAATACTTGTAAACCCACAATTTCTCCTACATTCCACTTAATCACCTTGCTCCAGAATATTCTGAAGTAAATCCAAGATCTTGGATGTCTTTTTATTGTCCTTAATATAAAATATGTGAGGCTTTTCCTGTGTCACAATACAATGATTGCATTTTCAACAATACATGATAAAATGTACATGACTGTACGTATTGCCCTTTGCAGTCTTTTTGCTATGAGTCTGTACTACTCCCCTAACCTACTCCCTGTGTGGGAACCCCTGGAGTAATGAAAAAGCTATTAGTAACACTTAGAAATGTCACTTATTAGCACATTTATATAAACTCACAATACAGACAATTACTGCTTGTACTGCTTAATATCTCAGGGATAATTTTGTTTTACCAGTTTACAAGTAGATTAGGAAAGAGAATGTAGTACTAGAATTCTCAAAATAATTTTTTTTCTCTTTATCCATTATATTGAGACTTTCTCTGCTAGAGTACAATAGAGGATCAACACAGGCCACTGCTTTCCAAAGTTCTTATTCCTTAACCACTATTTTTGAGGGTTCTGCAACACTTGCATTGCCTCTGAAGAAAGTACAGATGCTTGTGGGCTGGAAATCTGCACACGCAAAAACCCAGGAGCTATTGTCAGTCCCCCTGAGGAGCTAAGGAACGAATGAGCAAGGGCTGTGTTCACAGAGGTGGAAACGATAATTCTGCACCAAAGGCACAGGCTTGAGAAACTCTCTACCTTCCATAACCTGTGCATTTCCTATCGAGCCAGGCCCTCTCTTAACTATGAAATTCAGTTTTGTAGGGTGAAAGAAAAAGAAACTATTTTCTTTACTGTGAATGAGACAACGAATTTCTTAAATTTTCTTGGCAAAGAGAACTGAAAAAATTATTTCCTGATTTCCGTTCAGTGCACCCGTGTAGCACACTGATTAATGCTAATGGAATTCATATATTTAAACAAGAGTGAGCTCAATCTCGCGATTATAAATATCATTCAGAAAGTTTGTGATTGGAATTTATTGGTATGCATTTAATCCAGGTCAGTTTTAAACTCTTAAACTTTAATGTGTAAATGAACAGAATTATCTCCACTAAGTCATATTTGACACTGCTTGTAGCTATATAAAAAAAATTTTAGTAGAGAAAAAGCAGTACCTCTAAATGAAATCTGCTCTTTTTCTAGTTTAATAGAATATCTCTTTGCATAATTATAAATATACAAAAAACTGTTATCATTTGAAGATGACAATTTTGACTTTAGTTTTCTAACATGTCAATTATAGAGGTGAGCAGACAAAATACACAAGATAATGAAATTTTTCTTGCATAGCAAATGTTTATTCAAACTATAATTCAAATGTGAAATAAGGCAATCTAGTTTTCCACCAGGGAAATTATTATCTGGTTCATATGTACAATATTAATTAGATTAGCCCCAAATCCTAGTAGTTTACATAATTGTATTTAATTTGCCAGAAGGGGTCAAATTGTAGCATTGGACCTCTACTAAGAAGGTGATGTTGTTTAGTAGCAAAAGCTTATCACAATCTAAAGAAACTGAAAGGCATTTGAAATTTTAGAATAATAAAATGTAGAACCTAAATTTTTATATTTGAATAGAAAAATGCACCTAATTAAATGTTTATAATCATGAAATATGGTTAAATGCTAGTTAAAAGTTCATCTATTTCATTTATTTCTGGTTACTATCATTTTATGAAAGGTATTTTCTGGATGTTTAGCTAACTTGTCATTATAATATATAATTTCAGACACTGAAATTTTGTCGCTTACTTCTTTCCTATAATAGCTCTTTCTTCTAGGGTTAAGCTGTTTTGTATTATACCTCTTTCTCCTTGGATTCATTATGTTTTGTGGTGAATCAAATTGTCTCATTCTTCATGGTCATCTCTCAGAAATAGGATACTTTATTAACAAACAGTATAAATTTTAAAATTCAAAAGAAGCAGAATGTTTGGCTCTCTTCTACAGTGGCACAAAGAGGATCTACAAAATTGTGCAAGAAGAGGAGTGCAGAAATCTCCAGATGTTTTGGTTAAACCAAAATTTTCCCAATTTCGTTGGATGCTACTTTACTCCTAGGCAAAAAGTGCTCAGGCAAACTTTGTAATGTTTGGTGTTCAGTGATTCTGTTCTATTCAGAGCCACATAAGTATTCTATCAACTACTCTTAATATTATGCTTCCTGTCAAGACCTACGTCTATGGTGAAATTGTGGATTGAAAGCTTGACCTTGTTCTAGGTTAATTCTTGGCCAACCCAACCCATTTTGAAGCAGTGATATCCAAACGTGTACTATAAGAATCCCCCTGGGT